CGAAGAATTTTGGTTTTTTTTCTTGCAATTCTTTTATATTATCAAAATGTCAATAAAGAACATATTAAACATTTGATAGTAAAAATGTTTTTCATTTTTTTTTATCTCAGTTTAAAAAATGCCTAAAATTCATGCGACTAGACCTGAATACCCCCATAACTGCACACTAAATTAAGATCTAAAGCTGTAACTTGGTAGAGAGGATCGCAGTAGCAAGGGACACCTGCGGCCAAATTTTCTGAAAAAGTGGGCGTGTCCCGCCCTTTAACAAGTTTAATGTACATATCTCCTAAACCACTTAAGTTACAATAACCTAAATTTTATGAGTACACATTTTATAAGAACTGCTATCCACAGTGTGAAAATGAATGAAATCGGCGGAAAAGCCCGCTCACTCCCCATATAACGATACTGTTAAAAACTACTGAAAGCGCGATAAATCAATAACTAAATTCGCTAGAAACAATAAATTTTACTAGCGGGATGGTATGAGAGAGCTTAATGAAAGCCGGTGTGAAAATTCGACGATGGGCGTGGCATGACCGAAAATCAGACAGCAACTACGCCTACTTTCCATATAGCACAATTTTAAATTCCACTTCATTCGTTCAGTTTCCAGTACACAAATCTAGAAGCAATTCATTCAAAGGGTCCTTCTCCACTTGGTTCAAGCCTCTAGGCATCGAATATTCAGACCCCGGTACCAATAGTTGACTTTTGATCGAGAATATCTGTCTATGTGAAATTAATGGATAATCCTTCTCTTATAATGATAAGTATGTATGTCAAAAATGGGTTGTATCGGACCAATACTTCCCTTACCCCCACATACTTAATATAAAGTTATTCGAAATTTGGGGTGACTTTATACCGCTTGTATCCGCCAATATGTGAGCCATCCCAATGAAAATAAGAGAGCGCGCTTCTTGCAATTTGCAAGAGTATAAAATGTTCGGTAGCATCCAAACTTAGCTTACTTGTTGATAATAAAATGTTATTTGAAGAAAGTTGGAATATAGAAATATTGTTTAGGACGGAAGCAAAATTGTTTAGAAAGATGAACTGCCGATCTCTTGGCTTTACAGTAAATTTTTGTGCGTTAGAATGACTCAGTTTATCTTGTAAATACATATACGTACTAATTTTTCGTTAGATTAGAAAATATACTTATGGTTTAACCGATATTGATATAATGACAAGTTTTGATAATAAAATATTTTTTGAAGGACCTAGTTAGCCCATGTCGGACCACTATAGAATATAGCTGCCGTACAAACTGATCGATAAATCTTCACGTAATTTAGACGGGAATATGGTCCAAGACTGTACTGCATTCTTCGAACATATTGTTTATTTAATAATTTTGTTCACCTAACGGCTGTACGTATCCCATACAAATAAATGAGTTAGTGTTATATATAATATATGTGTATAAATGATCAGGGTGATGAAAAAAGTTGAAATCCATGTGATTCTCTGCCTTTGCAAGTTGTATCTTGAGTAAAAATTAAGACAGCTTGAGAAAACTTGATATACGTTTTCCCTGACAAAAAAACAATTACAAATTCGTATATGAGTTTAAAGGAAAACCTCTAAAGTGTCATAACTAATCCCTAAATAAAGATATAGATCTGTCATTTGACAAAGAGGAATGCACTAACAAAGGCCACCTATGGGCTCAAAATTTTGAACGCGTGACCCCACCCTCTTATAAGTTTAATGTACATACATATTTCGTAAACCAATAAAACTGCAACAAACACGTTCAACTAAGGCGAATAATATAAGTGTGATAATAGATGAAATTAGATGATACACTTCCAATATAACGGTACTGTAGTACTTAAAGCAATATAAATAAATAAAGTGGCTTTAAAGGGGCCGGTAAAAAATTGGACAATGGCACTGTCCATTTTTAGGTAAAATCACATATTTCTGCTTCACCGATTACAACCAAATTGGGAACTTAACATTATTCCAACATTCTTATTTCACAGTATGAAAATAGACTGCAACCACGCAAAAAGTTCAAGACCCTAGGTACCGAATTCAACCTATAGTTGACTTTTTATGGCAAATGTCGGTATTTATTTGAGATATATAATTGAAATTCAGGGATAATTTTTTCCTGACAATGGTATGTCTGTGTGTCAAAAATGGGTTGAATCGCGCCAAAACTTAATTTTTCGTATTTTAAAAGGAATTGTTTTTTTATAACATAAGAGAAAAAATTATTAAATAAAGAATTGCAAACAATTTATCCGCGTTATTTTCGTTATTTTTTTAGTAATATTATCAAAAACAGTGAAATTATTCAAAACATATCCTTGGTCGATCTAATGTATGTTCTTATTTCCTTCTCATAAAACTCATTTATTATTAAATTTATATTCTAATGTTGTTAATTTACATTGGTATTTTATTATTATTGTTTCAATGTAAATATACAATTTTGTTTTTTAACAGTTTAAATATACTTTTTGTCAGCTTAATTATTATTTGTAGTGTTAAAAACAAAATAATAACTTTCGAAACAAAAACCACAAGGGGTATCTATTGTAATGGTCTAAAGAACCTATTGTATAAATCGGACATACGGCCTAAAATCAATTACAAAGTTTGAAATATCTTTTCAACCAAGGAAGTACAACCAAAGAAGTACCAAGCAAGTACAAGGAGGATACCCCAAAATCGATACTTTTTCTTCAAAATATTTTCAATACTTTTTAACCACTAGCATTTTTATTGTTTATTCTGTATTTTTTATACCATAATTAACATAAGAGATATCATAATTCATATGAGAGATATAAGTGTTTTTATACTCTTGAAACCTGTTGCTACAAAGTATAATAGTTTTGTTCACCTAACGGTTGTATGTATCACCCAAAACTAAGTAAGATAGAGATAGGGTTGTATATGTGTATATATAAATGATCAGAATGATGAGAAAGGCTGAATGAAAAATAAACGAGTTCCTAGATTGGAGTAATCAAACCACTGCCACGTCTACAAATCGGCATTAACAGAAAACCTAAGAAGTGCCAGGGCATCGCGGTAGCTCTTATAAGTTTAATGTACATATCTTCTAAGCTACTAACGCTACAACAACCAAATATTATAAGAACTCTTATCGACAGTGTGAAAATGGATCAAATCGAAAGACAACCCCGTTCACTCCCCTTATAATGGTACTGTTCAAAACTACTAAAAGCGCAATAAATCAAAAAATAATTACGGCACCGCCCTCTTTTTGGTGGCATTTTTTTCTATGCCACAGTGTGAAAATTATGTTGAACATTACTACAATTAACGTTACATTTTAATTCTAAAATAGTATGAGAAGACTTTTTGATGGCATTTTTTTTTTTATATTACTATGCCACATTGCGAAAATGGACGAAATCAGACTACAGCCATGTCTACTTCACATATACATAACTTCCGGTATACCCGTTAGTAGTGTTTAATACTACTAAAATAACGATGAATCAATAACTAGATGTGTCAGACAAATCAAGTTTCATAATTGGCATAGTAGCCGGTTTCAAAATTGGATGAATGTGTATTAAAATATTTCCCTGGCGTTGCTACTTGCCAGTTGCAAGAGTACGAGTATTAAATGTTTGATTGCACCCGAATTAAGCCCTTTCTTACTTGTCCATTCTCAAGATCGCTAACAAGTTTCTTCGGGCGAGCTAATATTATATACATATGTATATCAATATTTATTTCTCACTACTGGGTACACTTACTTATTATTTTCGAACGAATACTTACATACACTAATACATAATAATATATACATACACTTCTACAAAAACATACTAAAATTGAAATTATGGCTAAGAGTACTTAATTCCTAGATTAGAGTCTTTAAAAAATTAAAAACGTCGTCTATTATTACTGTATAACTTAATTTTCGATTTGGGTTAAAATTAAACGTGCTAATTTTAGCGCGTTGCTACAAATATCGAAGCGAACGAGCGTTTGAGTGGTAAAATACCATACTTATTAACTTACATGAACTTTAAGAGCGTATCGTTTGTTCCATTTATGACTGTTTGTGATAATATGCCATTGAAACTCCAACTCTCAACTATGCAGGCTATTATCACAAGTATGCGTATCAGCAAATCGTGCATGATTACATTACCCTGAAATACATATATGTGAATTACACTTTGACTATTTAGTTTCAATTTAATTTAAACGAAAACTTCGTACATACGTATCTGTGTACATATGTATGCATTTATCTATCTATTGTATTATGACATCACAAATATTTTCGTGCAAACACTCTTATCAGTGGATACAATAAAACTCTTTCACATGGTTCGCAATACTTATAATGCAATTATTGCCTAAGTGATATACCCGTCATCGTATATGAATAAGAATATATTATGTACAGTTGTGTTCATAATAATAGGAGCATTTCATCAAAATTTAGTATAAAGCGAATAACTTTGGTTCTGTGGTTATATTTTATAATATACATATAAAAAGGAGATGAAGGCAAATAGGAAATGATAAAACTAATTGTTCATTAAGAGTTTATGATTCAGTTGTTGTTAAATAAAAAACATAGAGTACATTATTCTCAAACGTAGCAGCATATTTTGACGCAAACTTAAAAATTATAAAAAATCGAATGCAAAATTTGCATCTTATATTTTAGTTTTAGTAGCATGGCCAGCATTTTTGATGACAGAGTAAGAAATATATATGCTTCATGAAGTCAACAAACTTTTTACACCTTTCACTTTCAATGATATACCTTGATTCTCTTATTGTCAATAGTCTTAGTTCACTCCAGGATTTCTTTATATATTTTATATTTATAAATTGATCCATGAAGCCAGAAGTTTTGTATATCGCACCGACACCGTATTATGAGAAATACCTCCAGCACCACCATATTTTATGGTCTTCTCTGTGAATCTTTATTTTAAAAGCAATATCTCGAAGACAATTAGTTTAGATGCATCTACATATATATCCCTATATCTGTCCATACCCTCTTTCTCCACAAAATCCCGTTTGTGTGACGGTATGCAAACGCTTCCACGGCACGCGTACTGCTATTTTAGTGAACCCAACTGTACATACATATAAATTTACACATATTGGTAGATACATATGTATGGATATTTAAAATATGTATGTATATATTGAGTTGATTTAACACATTTTCATATTTGGATGTCGCTTCACTTCTGCGATGGTTATCTTATTCGTCAAATTCGCTTTGCTGGTTGATCATTAATAGATACACATATGCACTCACAAATTTACATAACTATGCATAAAGTCGAATATTTGTTTAATTGAAACTAGCGAGAACTTTTCCGGTTGTTGCAAATACCGTAAAGGAAAGCAAACACAAAAACAAATTTTACATACATATGTACGTACGTATCATTTACAGACACTTGTCAATTGCTCACACAATTACTTCACACACACGTTAAATTAATTAAAAAATCAAGAAGCTACGACAACTCTAGAGAAATTGTGTATTCTTTGGTAGATTCATAGAAATTAAGTTACTCACGGATTGTTTTTAATGTGTGAGTAATGCTCACCGGTATTTTTTTTTCGTGGCGCGCTTTCAACTCTATTTATTTATTCGTTTGTGCACACTTCCCTTGCAATACCGCTCGAAATAAAATTTTATTATTTGTGTTATTGTTAATATATGCATATAGCTACATACGTATGCCGTGCGCTCAGTACCGACTTGACTGCGTTTAGCGAATAATAGTTAAAGAATGAGCTTGACTGTAAATACAATTATTTTGGCCTAATGTTGAGTATCATCATATTGGAATTCGTGCTTTTATTTCTTGATAAGATAACGGTATTAGGGTTTTGTGTACTTTGCAAACTTGTCCACTACCGTTTTACCGCCGAATTGGTTAACGTAATTGCACAAAATCGCAATTTCGAAATTAATTTGAGCTTATTTAACATCGCACGGACATCATCACTCTTATACATAGACGCACAGACATTACATAATTTAGAAAATAACACATTTACCCATCTATAAACTGGCTACTGATGATTTTCAAAATAGCTGGAAATTTTAAGTTCCGTTTTAACACTTCTCTATAAAATTCAATTGCATATATTGAATTATTGTAATCGGTGTTATAAAAAATGAAAGAAATGTCAAACCTCCGAATACAATTTGATACTTGAATCAATTTCATATACGTATGTATGTATAAGGTTGTGCCGATAGCCCAAAAACGACAATTTGAGAAAAGTATTTTAACTAATAATGTCAATAACAGTCGTTGTGTTTTGTTTTTAACCATGTTTCAATTATATAATGTCGATAACACAAAAAAAAAACAATTTGCCTAAAGTAATTGGATACATTAAGTTAAAATCAACTATTTCGTTTTGAATATTTTTGTTTTTGTGGCTCAAAAATATAGTTTTCAAAGATTACAACCACTAAAAATATGTTTTTTGAGTGATAACTCAATACAGTCAAAGAAAAACAAATGATTTTGACATTTGGAAACTCAAGGAAATCATGAGAAAACAACATATGTAAATAAATTGTTTTTTAACATTATGGTTACACATTTTTTTCGCAAAAGGAAGGACGTTCCAAAGTTTCTGAGAAAACCACACAACTGGACCAAATAAAGAAATGGACAATAAGGAAAGGTAAGTAATTCTGCAAATCTTTTAAATTTTGTTTAGATATGTATAATAATTTCATTTCTATTTAGGATTTCAAAATGTGAATTAACAACTCAGGAACAGCTGCAGCATTACAGGGTATTATTTCACCATAAATATCTTTTTATCCGCATATGTGTTAAATACATACATACATACATATTTGAACATAAAATTTTGTCTGAATTATTTAAACATAAATATAATATATTCGAAATTGAGCATTTTATTGATTACGCTTCACTACTTCAAATTGCATACATACATAATATTACATAAGTATGTATGTGCATCACTTTGAGCTTCTGCTCTCAGTATAAACCAGTTTTAGCCAACATTAATTTTTTTCACTCATGTTCCATTTTATTTCGTGTTTCATTCATGCTATTGTAAATTTCCGAAAATGTTGTTACGTTATTTTGCATTTCAGGTGAGGATATGTACATATGTATACTATATATACTTAGAAGGAAGTAAAATATACAAACACCGTAAGTTACATATTTATTGTAATAGACAAATGCCTATATTTATAATAGATAACTCATCCTATTTCAATAACATATTTGCAAATTTCTTTAAAAATATTGAAATTATCAAAACAAACACAACCGATTATTGTATTTTGAGGTTTGCTTTCACACATCACACATTTGTGAGGTAATTGTGAGCATTTAAACTTCTAAAATCACGTCAGCAGTCGTAAAATTTCACAAGTAACAAACACCTCACAATAGCAAAGGAAGTGATTTTTGTGAGAACATTAAATAGGGAATTTCCTATTTATATTTTGATAATTTTGTGTTATAAACATTGTATGGTTATACGGTTAAGAAATCAAAAAATAAAGTAAAACTTATTTCAAATTGACTTTCAATAAAAACAAATGATACAAAATACTATGTAATAAAAATAATTGAAAGTAAATATCTTTTTAAATTTCGCTCAGTTTTCAATATTCCTTATTATTTACTTGAATTCTTCATGAAATGCGTATGATAATTAATAATATTAAATCCAATATATAATATTAAAAATATACAATAGTTAATTTATTATTTGCAAATAAAAAATACATTTTCATTTAGCTATTTTTTCCGAAACGCTGACACCCTGTAGTGTTATTTAATAACTATTTTTAACACAAATCTTTACTGAGTTAAAATAACGAAAGAATTTTTAATTAGTCACTTCAAAAGTAGTTTTAAATCAATTTTTTGCAAAAGTATTCTTACTTGATTCAGAAAATTATTTTAGTATACAAAATAATAAGGTTTTCGCTTATTATTACGGCAAGTTCGCTCGTTTTTCCATCATGCGCACTTCTCGGACACAACACATGCAGGTGGCAACATCGTTTCGCCATATTGCACAAAACGACTGCCAGAGGTCGTCTTCGGCGTTCTAAAATAAAAGACTCGCTGTGATTGGTCATTGCCTACTGTACGTTTTGCGAGTTAAAAGTGAGGAAAAATCGCTAAAGAATAAAATGTTCATAAGAACCGTATAAATTATTGATGAATAGTGCAAAGTTTTTATAAATCAAATACAAGTGTTTGGACTTTTTCGATAGTATATAAAATCGTACGCGAAAAGTTATAGCTTATAGAAATAAAGTGAAAAATCGTTTTTCATAATGGCGGCCTCGATTGGCTTGAGTTTTCGACTGGCGAAGCCATCAATTGAATAAGCGCTAAAGATACAGTTTTGGGAGGAAGGTAGAGTATTTAGCAGAATTGTCAAAAATATGCAAACATTATTTCTTTAACCCCATTGAGTAAAGTGTTTGTTTTTGTTGAAATTTAGTGAATGATCAAATGCTTGTTTGGAATGCTTAATAATGCCTGGCTGTGTGCGTTACAATTTTAATAAATAACCTTCAATTTTTATTCCTGGTTTTTTTTTTTGCAGGTTTTCCAACATCGCAAACTATTTATTTTTATAGAAAATTATTTTAAAGAATATTTTGGCAACAGTTATTAAATATATTTTTAAAAAATTTTTATCTAAACGAAGTTTAAATAATGAGTGGACGTGGTAGTCGAAAACGGGGTAGGCCTCCGAAGACGCCAAATGAGCGCGCTGGCACTAAATTTAATTATCATCTGTTGAAGAAGCCAAAATATTTGAGCAAAGCCAGTGATTCTCAGTTAAGTACTCCATCGGCTTCGCGTGCTTCTTCACCTCAGGAAAGTGATGGAAGTCGCAGCTATAACAGGAAATCCACCAGCAAAAGCACCAGGGGCAGATCTCGTAAATCGACAAGTAGTACGGCTAACGTAAGCCGAAGAGGAGGTAATACTCGTAAACAAACAAATTTGTTTACATTTTCTTTTGATTTTAGATTTTACAACATGACAATGGTGTTAATTGCCTATCGAATGTAGTCTCTGCTACTACCTTTGGTAGAATTTAACTATACATTTTTATTTATATGAAAGAAATTTTTTTATTTACATATAAAATATTAGTTCGCGATGCACTTAAATTATACTTATTTATACGAGATACTTTAATGCAGTAGTAGTTATTTCAAAATATAGTTATGGTACGATTTACTTAGGTAGATACATATGTATTGTTTTAAGTAAAATAATGAGGTATTATTATGATATAAATAAATAAGTACTGATATAAAATTTAACCATTAATTATGAATTTTACTTTAATATGTGTAAATTGTAATTATTATTTATTTAATTGTTCTTAGTTTTACCTAAAAATGTCATTCGATATGTACTTGATTATATTTTAATAGTTATCATAATAACTTTTCAAGTTAAAAATAAAATGATTAAAGCTAAGAAAGTATATTTTTGACAGAAGTTTTTCTTCATTTAATTAATAACCAACTTCATACATTTTAATTGTTCTAATATTTTCTTTAATAGGCTACGAATCGGAATATCACTATGGCTCTGATTTTGGCGATTCAAGTGAAAAGAGTGATATTGATGACGAATTACTCTGTTCTGCCACAGATGAAGAGAGCCTTGACGCAGCTAACGAAAGTGAATCCGAATTCTCTGTGTGCAGTTTTACTCAAAATGGTGTTGGTCGTCCGCCACGACCACCAAGTCCTGAACCAATTTGGTTGCAGGATCGCAAATATGATCAGCTCGAACTGCCTGAATCTTCAGAAGATTTGCTAATGAAAAATGAATTTTTACTTAAGGCTCTTAGTATATATGAAGTTCTACGCAGATTTCGTCATTTGGTGCGTTTGTCACCCTTCCGCTTTGAGGATTTCTGTGCTGCTTTAGCATGTGATGAGCAAAGTGCTCTTATCGCAGAGATACACATCATGTTATTAAAAGCAATTTTACGTGAAGAAGATGTACAGGGCACACACTTTGGGCCACTTGATCAGAAAGACACTGTCAATATAAGTCTATACTTAATTGATGGTATAACATGGCCTGAAGTACTACGATGTTATGTAGAAAGTGATGAAATATTCAGCAGAGAAGTGCATAACATATTAAGTGCAGGTGATTATCCATTTACAGGCGTCACGGATCGCATAACAGTTTTACAATTTTTAACTAATCAATTTTTAACAACGAATGCTGTACGTGACGTGATGTTACAAGAGGGGCCAATACATTATGACGATCATTGTCGCATTTGCCATAGATTAGGTGATTTATTATGTTGCGAAACATGTCCTGCCGTTTATCATTTGGAGTGTGTGGATCCTCCTCTGAATGACGTACCAACTGAAGATTGGCAGTGTAATTTGTGTAAGTCACATAAAGTAACTGGAGTTGTTGATTGTGTGTTGCCACAAGAGAAACAAGGTGTACTTATAAGGCAAGATATACTCGGCTTGGATAGACACGGCCGCAAATTTTGGTTTATTGCAAGAAGAATTTTCGTCGAAGGTCAACCCGAACTGGATAATGACAAAATTTGGTACTACAGCACGGAGTCGAAATTAGAGCATCTACTAAGCGTAATCGACAAAGATGATTTGGAAACAGGACTATACAATCAATTGACGGAGCGTAAAGATGAAATTGTGCGTCAAATGAAAATTACCGAGTCCATTACAAAGGAGCACAACAAATATCAACGGCTTTCTTATATTGATGAGGAAAATAAGAAAACTTGGGCATTAATCCGTGGTAATGAAGACGAAGACGGGCAAACGCACGAGAGTGCCACAGAGAATAAAATGATGACACGATTGAAAACAAGTCAAAATGTTAATGAACCTAATCATTTTAAATTGGGCATGGAACATGGTTTTAAAAATTATGTAAATCAATACACATCAAATCCGATTGCATTGAATAAACCGCAGCGTAATGAGGAACGTGACAAACGGCGCCATTTATCACATAAATTTTCATTGACCACAGCATCAGAGTTTAAATGGATTGGTGTTACTATGGGCAGTTTAGATAGTATTACACAAACATTGCGGCAGACATTATTAAATTTCGAGGAAAGTGTACCTTCGT